TTGTTGCCACGTAACAAAACTGTAAATGATGAGTAACGGGCAAATACAGACCATAGCAGCTATCAATTAGTGAAAAGCCGAAGTCTTTAGGTGGCCTAGGGACCCAGATCCCGATGGAACAGACAAACAGGCGACGGAAAATCGAGCACAGAAGCGGACCTTTCATTAGAGTGCCATGAAGGATAAAACCATTTCCAACCCCCTCTTCTCCAAACTCCTCTTTTGATAAGGAATCAGAAAGTAGGGTGGTAGTTGGTAGAAAGCCGTTTCTTTTTTTGAGACTTTTAAATAGAATACCATGAAAGATTCAATTCTACCTCCTTCCTGCTCCCCCGGGCCATCTACTGATCTCGGAAAGGAGTCGCGCAGGAAAATTATAGTTTGTAAAAATCAATCCATTTCGGCGAGACCTTTCATTAGAATACCATGAAGGGTAGAACCCCCCCCCCCTTTTCAAAAATTACTTGGCACCCCTAAAGGCATGCGTATGCAAATTCTGAAACCAGTCGTGTAAGCATGTCAGTTCTGCACGTTTCACATTCAAAAACAGCATCTCACGAAATAATTCATGTGACGGTCTGGCACACCTTCAAGGTATAGACTACACATATTGCAAAAATTCCAGGACTCTAGGACCATTCCCCTAAATGTAGTTCAAAACCGCAGAAGTGGGTCAGGACGGACGGACGGACAAAACGCCCAACAATAGCACATTCTTTTTAATTCTTAAAGAAGTGCTTTGCGCTCATTTTATTAAAATTGTGAACTCAATTGCACTTCAACTTTGTATAGTGAACAAGCATTCATGTTCCCTATCATTTCATTAAAAATGATATTTCAAGGGTGTCTGCTTCCGCGTGTAGGTATTCTTAGGGGACTCATCCTCCTCCTCTGCGTCGGTGTTGTATTGATTTTGTTCAATGTTGCTATAAATACTTCGTAGGTTCTGAATATAATGTCCTCAACTCACATTACGGAAGAACATTATAGAAAATGGATTTTCTCTAATTCTTTGCAAACGGAGACATACGTCCAGACATACCTCAAACACGTTTTGTTAAAGGAAAAATCATCCCAGTTCAACGAACGCGTAGTGGACAAGGAAACCGGTGCTTGGATTTTTATGAATCATAATGAATTCGAGTTCTTTCGTAATTTGCATTTCAAATGTATCGAGATGTGAACATGCACGAGGAATGGCGTAAGCAGAGGCGGAATGTCAATGTCTCCTTTCGCCAATTAAATACCTAATTAAAAAGGATAGGTACCTACATCGTTTCCTACAACTTTAGGCGTCCCGTGTCCTCCAAAACTGTTACTTTGTTTTAATGCAAATTGGTGACTCAACAACTAAATCTAACGGATCGCTAGGAGTAGGTATAATTAGTCGGGGCTACTTTTGAGAAAATCCAAATGCTAGAGGCATTTCATGCAACAATTGAGTTTACAAGTGGTTTTCCCTTATTTCGATCCTGCTGATCCGATTCTGCCTGTTGCCAAGTCTGAAAATGGACAGGTTGGGAGATATTCAAAATGGCATCCAGTATGGCGGTTTTTGGAATTTTTGGAAATGCTCGACTTTTACAGTTCAAGGGTCTGGCCCCAAGATTATGGAGTCAAGGAGCACGATGGAAGGGTCAAAAATGAGGTTGGAAGTGAAAAACCGCGATTTTTCATATTTGGGCCAAAATGGCGCTAAAAATTTTTCCAAAGAATACAATGGAAATAGAAACAAAATGAGATCGGATATGGTAGAAACGAAATTTCTCATATTTCGACCGAATGGCCCCATATATTTGAATTTTTTCGGGAATACTCTTATATTCAAGTTTTTTATATGTTGGCGTAGGTTTTTGAAGTCGAGGAACAAATTGGAAGGGTCAAAAATGTGATTGGAAGTGGAAAACCGCGATTTTTTATATTTAGGCCCATCGCACCACCACGAAATTTAGTGAATCTGTGGGGACGTAGCGTAGGTATTAGAACGTCAGCGGAAATCAGGGTTTGAAGATGGCAGCTTCTGTGGCTATCGATACGCTGCTGGCTGGCATTCGTAACAAAAATGCAACATACTGTAATTAAGTGAATGCTGTCTAGCAAGCTGTAACTACCAGTCACGGCTATGAAAAATTGATACTATTTTTACTAATCCGCGTGGATATGGTTCACGCAGTCCTGACATTCCTGACTTGGCAGAATCGGATTTAGCTGGTTGAAAATAGGGAGAAACCACTTCTAACTCCATTGTTACACGAAATGCTTCTTGCATGAGAAAGTGGCCCTGACTGTAATGTCTGTAATCGAATAATAGGATAAAGAAGTCGGGGGATATTTGTCTCTTTCAGTTGTTTGTTTAGTTAGTTAGCGTTAGTTTAGTAACAGTTACAGTTTTTTTTACCATATTTCGATTGGATTATCATGGGATAGAGGAAGTTCAACAAAACCAATGGATATACAATAAATTTTATACGGAGACGCGAACTGGAATTCTGGCTTCAACTAGCAGTTTCTCAAACCCTCTTTTTTAGGGTAAACAAGTAATTAAGCAAAGCGGCAGTAAGTTTCGCAAGCGCACCAACGAGTACAAATATTTCTAAACAAAATTGAAAAATACCTATAAGGAAAATACAAAATAGACAACCGGGAAACAATAGGTAATGATATAAGCCAAATCACTAATTTAATTTTAGGTCAAACAAAGTAATGAACATAACCGCAACGCTTAATTGCGATACCCTTAATTCTGGATAAGTCATGTCCTTAAAATACGTGCAAATTATTAATTATTCCATTCAGTTAATCATTGCTAAATGAAAAGAAATTACACATTGCATCGTGAACAATGAAATTGTCTTTCTTCTATTACTAACACACAAGTTTACTTAAGTTTCAAAATTCAATGATGATTTATACGACCTTACGATAATCATGAGATGACTTTGGGATCACTTCAAGATAATTGGGAGACTAGTGCAGATTAATAAGAGGGAAACCTTGAATTTTGAAAGCCGTTGAAAAGAGTACCTACCTTGAAATAGCCTTTCTACTGTATTAAGAACATGTTTGAATAATTCTTATGTACCTTGAGAGAATTTCATACAATCGTATGAAAAACTTGGTAAGGTCTTAAAAGGATATTCAAGGGAAACTTCATTGAACATATTGCTGTGTCAATCACCTGGTCGGCTCAGTACCTGGCTCAGTATCACCCACACAAAAATACCAAATACTGAAATGTCACCCCTTCAGGGTTAACAAAAAATAAATTATACTATCACCCAAGTATTCGTCACTGAACCTCAAAAACTAGATTATTTTATTACATTTATTTTCACAAAGAACTTTCAAACCACATACTCGGCTTGCTCAAATTACCAAAGGGTGTAGATTTACTAGGTTCGTAAACACACGTGACAAAATTACAAAACAATTATACACACCTTAAATCTAAAATCAGACCCTAACTTTTCCCAACAATTAGATCTACCAACAAAAACTTCAATGTTTATCAAACCCCACAAACGAAAATAAGAGAAAACCATTTACTTACTTTTTAAGCAATTACGTTATCTTGATGGACTTCTTTTTGTTGAATTCAGATGATATCTGGTTAATTACTGGTTCTGACGATGATATTTTCACGGATTCGACCTGTGATAGACACCCAAGTCTCTCGTGCTTTTTTCGTAAACCCACTATTTTCGTCTCACTATTAAACCATTTGTCTTATTGCATAAACAAAATGTTATCAATTATTGTCTTTTCTAGATCCATTTTTATACAGAAAATAATGCCTTAAACAAAATAATTTCTAACAATAAGGTAAATCTACGCAAGGTAAACATCTGAAGACAGATAAAGCCATTTTTGCCCCAATGAGGCACGCTCGTAACAAGGCGCCTACTTAAAAGTCGTATTATCCATCGACATTTACCGTTCTTATCGCACAACTTGAAAAATTTTATAACAGCACCACACCCACTGCGAAAGTAGTAGTATTTGTGACGGAAATTTTCTGTTCGAACCACCGCAGTATTTCGAGCTGTACCAGTTTGATACACTTTGTCGAAAAAGAGGCGTGAAACCCTCCAATCATTTTCCGAAGGGAAGATTTGATATCTTCAGTAAGCGATCAACTGTAGAAGTTATTTCCGGTTGACGAAGAGTTGTCTCAAAAAAGGACAAACGGGTACTGTAATTGATGTTTATTGGTACGCTCACTCATAGACCAGTACCAGGATTGCTCTCTTTTTGGGTGTTGCGCACTTTCTTGTAATGATTGTGTATGGATTGAATAATTAAAGTTTGCGTCTCGCTCGTGTCTGCGATTGCGGGAAACCGGCTTAAATTTTTTTAAGTTTGTGTTCGCTATTTTGTGATATCTCTGTCAATGATATGCACCTCCTATTTTTTTACCGCGATCGCATGACTCCTGGCTGTCACAGGATAGTATTTTGGTGAAGAATTGAGTGAAACATCGCTACTTATGGGCCAATTTCAATGGAAGAACGTCGGAAAGCTGTGCTATTTCACGAACGCTTTAGCTTAAGTGAGTTTATGCGACGTATCCGGCGATGAGTTTAAAACTTCAAATTCGGATATTTCGAAACCGAATTGCCGAAAGAGGACATTCTCAATGGGTAAATAGATGGTTAGGACGCGATGTATTTGTCGGTGAGGTCAAGACTTCAAATCCTAGTGTCTCAAAAACACGAAGAGGGGTATTCTCGAAGCGAAAATGGAGGGTCTGGACGAGACGTATCTATCGGTGCGCTACTTATGTACCCAATCGTTAATTTTTTTAGTAAAATCTTAATAAAGGTAGAGATTTTTGAGAGGTTGTTGGGCGAATATAAATATAATCCTAAGGGGATAAATAGGACATTTAGAAAATCTCTTAAGAAACCCGTCAACCGTACTAAAAAATCCTTGGAGGATTTAAAAATATCCATTCCCGAGTTATGACGTTGATACGGACATATGGAGACGACTTTTCTTTAGTCCAAAGGTTTTCGATTCATTTAATTATAAATACATCTTAACTTTACAGCTACCACTTTCTCCATAACCGCATTATCTCTTAGACACGGGTTAGTCTCATTGCGTTTCTATCGGGATATTCAATCTCATACCATTTGCCATCTTCAACAATCCAAGTGCTTCTGTTACTTCCTGTTTTTAGAATATCCACCACCGCTCTGGAGACGTCGGAAACCCTAAAATCAGTTTTCTTGCAATGGTACTGCGTTGTGATTCTTACGAGTTGAAAAATGCGGCGGATTGTATTTAGGAGCTTCATCGACAAGATTAGGATGTAACATTTCCGAAACCCCCTGTTGAAGGGAATCCTTCAGTTCCGTATTTGTTAAGCCTGGACAAATTGTAATGATTCCCACTTGATTGTAATTGTAATAAACCTGGTGCCCCAACGATCGACCAAGGGCGTTGATGAAACTTTTAGTTGCGCTATACACGGGGCCATTAAAAACAGGTTCTATGGCAAGAGTAGAAGATATATTTATGACCACGCCTCCTTGGCCTCCCCTATTTTTACTCATATACTTGATACCCAAGAGAGTTCCCTGAAGCGTTCCAACCTGATAAAGTATTGCAGATCATGATGCGTTATCTCCAACTGGTACTCACGATATTTATATCAATTGCAGACTTCCAATTTTTCTCATTACCTACTCCAGCGTTATTGATGACGAAGTTCAAGCCGTTCCAATGGCGTGCCGAAATCTTAAACGCACCTGTAACATAAAATTCAATGCCAAAATTTCGGAAAACAGACTTACTTTCTAACTGATCTCCATCGCTAACATCCGCTGGAATGAAGATCGCCTTCCCGTAGCCAAACTCCTCGTTGAGTAACTTCGCTGCATTTTGCCCCTTGTTGATGTTAACATTGACCAGTGTTACGCCCTACAAACATCCCTGGTGGCGTTCACCTTTACCTTGGACGCCTACATACCCGAACTCCGTTACTCAAAAGATCGCGCGCAATTCCAAATCCAATACCACGCGACCCTCCAGTTACCAAGGCCGTTTTCCCATTGAGTTCGAGCGGCGTAACACAAATTGGAATCCCAAGTGCCACCCATAATATCACGAAGTTTCGGGTAATCATATTATGCTCCGACTGAGTTCACATATTCTGGTCGAGGTTATATGTATATTTATTTATTTGACATTAGACCCCACACTCTATGTGAAGGTCTTTTCCACGTATTAACGTTCAAATTTATTCAAAAAATAAACATCCTTTAAGGATTTCTTCATCGCACTTACCTATTCACCTAATGCAAATTTCTTCTTTCTTTCTTTCAACGTTTGACCAAAAAGTTGATCTGTTCTGAAATTTCGGTCAACATTCTCAGGATTCTCTTATTTTTTATCTTCCCGCAAAAACCTCACAAAATTACTTTGTTTTCGAGAGAGTTTTATCTATGAAGTTTCTTTCAAGAGTTCTATTAACGACTTAAACGCTTTCTCAAGGTACTCATTTAAGAATCATCCAAAGATCATCTCAACTCTCTATATGGGATCTTTCAACTGCTAACGTTCGAAAAAGATTTTTTTCTGAATAGTCTCTGAAGTTATACCTAAATATTTTTTCAAACTTCATGTAAAATTCTGTTTCGTCAACGCCCTTGAGCGATCGCTGGAGCACGAAAAGGAGCAGGAAAAAGTTATAATTCATTCGCTTCAACGAACCTCACGTTAATCTGAATTGAAATAAAAGTACGGTCCTTCTGTTTCTGTTAAACCTACCTGCTAGATAACCTCCCATGTGTTTTGGTTTGGTACATTGGTATATATTGCGATGATTTATTTAAAATCCTATTGACCATCTTGTTAAGTTGTTAGTGACTTTTCAGAACCGGATTTCTCCAGACCGCAGGGGTACAATGAAACCGAGTTTCGGTGCATTAAATCCTGAAGGTACAGTAACTGTTTGCAGGTTTGTTCTTTTTGGAACCTGATTTTCCATACAATTTTCAAAAAATCGAGGGGTCTGAAAGAGTGTAGGAAAACTTTTAGGTAAGTCTGATTTGATTGAGTAACAACTACAAGAATTAGTATAGTAACCAGTTGAGATACGTTTCAGCGACTTTGAGATATCTGAGTGAGAACATTTGTACAACCCGTGTTCAAAATTCTTTTATACTTGCGACTTGAAATTTTGTTGTGCATCCCCAAAAAATGACTTTCAATAAAGTAATTTTCTGGATTCTTTTTACTCTCAAATATTGAAATTTTGGTTTTCAAAGAACTATTTCCAATACAGTCTTCATAAAACACATTTCAAAGTTATGAGAAGAACCTTAAATTTTCTTCAAAACTTAACTTTTCCGCATTTTGTTGAGAGCTTTTGAAATGTTTAATATAATCGATCGATTTGATTTTATTAAGTGATGTTACTGTTAAAATTTCAGAAAATAAAATCCACAAATAATAGACAACAAAAACAACAGGCAACACACAACATGCAACAACCAACAAGCAATTTATGCAACACACAACAAACAACGCGCAACAAACAAGAACCAACAAGCAACTAGCAAAAATGTTGTCGAGAGCTTTTGAGATGTTTAATATTATCGATGAATTTGCTTTTATTGAAAAGTGACACTGTTAAAATTTCAGAAATCAAAATCCACAAATAATAGACAAAAAACAATAAGCAACAAGCAAGAACCAACAACCAACAAGCAATTAGCAACAAGCAATAAGCAACATGCAACAAGCAACTAAGGTGCCACAAGCAACAACCAACAAACAACAAGCAACTAGCATTTTGTCGAGAGCTTTTTAATATATTCGATCAATTTGCTTCTGAAACTGCTTTAGAAACATAATAAAACAATAAAATAGTTGATATTGCGGGTCCTGCGCATGCGCACATTAATCTGATACGTTTGCTTTTACTAAAAGCATTTTTAGTTAACATTTCAAAGAAATATCTCCAGAGATAAGAAAGTTGGCATTGCGCACATTAATCGTAAAAATTTTTCTTGACTGAAGTGCCAAAGGACGGACGGACGGACGGACAGAGAAAGTAACTACAATCGCGCACCCAACTTCGTTAGAAAATGCGCTCAAAAGTATATTATGTAACTGAACAAAAGCAGTAGAAAGTGTGTACAACTGTTCTGCAAATCAAGCGTATTTTTTAAACCAAAATAGCTATCTAAATTATTGGACACTACTGGAAAATAAAACAGAGTTTGACACAAATTGATTTTTATGTGCCGTACATAATTGTATTCGTAATAAAAAACGCTACTCAATACAGTACGTACTTTTTTTACGGGTCATACAAAAAATTGATGATGATTTCTCGTAATCGAAACGTTGTATTAAAGGTTTTTCAACGCTGTATTGTAGAGCTCAATTAATGGCAACGGGAAAGTGTTTTATTATTTTGTATATGTTCAAATAACATCAGAAAAAATAACAAAATCGGCAAATTTCGGTTATTTAGTATATCTTCGGAAATAATCGGAATTACCTGGTTTTCTTTACAGCGGGATAATAACTTTTTAATTGTGCAAATTTTCGCTAATTTAATTTGTCCATGATCATATCTTCTATGGTTTACGAGATACCCATAATAGACGTCTTTATCTTGGACACAGTATATACAGGGCGTTAACAATAAGTTGTTACACCCGAAAACGGCAATTTGAACTCATTAAAACAAACAACTTTTTTTGGTTCCAATGTTTGATTTGGCGCCACGCTTTGAAGTTATTGGCGTTCTTTTGTTTTTCGAAAACTCTTCATATTATTTATTTTAAGGACTACTGAAAAAAAACAAAAATTCTTTCAACCCTCTAAAACATTTATATTTATAATTATTTTTTATTTTTGTAAATAATCAAATAGCGATCGATCGAAAATTTAAAAAAACATGTTTTGATAACCACCTGTAAATGCTTTTTTTCAATCTATCCTGCGAAAGAGAGTGATTTTGGAAATAAAAAAAATTGAAATTGAATTGTTTAGGACAAAATGTTGTAGTAGATGGCGTAGGGATTTTATAAATGATAAAGTCACTAAATATAGAACATACCGCAATCCATTGGGCTCGTGTGTTAGAGAGAGAACGCAAGATTTTTGCCCAAAAATGGCGGTTACCAGATCCTAGTAACTTTAATGTTAGGGATTGTTCCACCTGTTTGGAGATATCTGTATATATTTTTATAAAACATGACAGTACTATGAAATTAGGTTATAAAAAATTACAGCTATTCAGATTTTATTTGTCAATTTTTTTAAGTTGGCAGCAAATTTGCCCAAAAATGGCGGATGATTGCGGTACTTTCTATATCTAGTGACTTTAATAAATGTTTTCCTTTCAAAAATTGATGGGGTGGTTCTCAAAACATTTTTTTTTGAAACTTTGGTCAATCACTATTTTGTAACTTAGTGCTTGTTTACAATGAACGTATACGTAAGAAATACATAAAACTTAAACATTTCGTAAAGTTGAATAGTATAGAAACATACGAAGGTGTTTATAATGAACGTAATTTTTACGTACCTACGTATAGCGATATGTAAGTCTTGCGCATATTCGCAAAAGTTGAAAATGTTTCAGTTACGTACGGTCATTGTATTTATTAAATACAATGGTACGGTCAAAGATCATACTACTATGTACCACTATGTACCTATTACCATAGTGTAAGTACTATGTAGTATGAGCTTTGGTTTACTGTAAACAGCGAAGTAAATTTACGGAAACGATACGAATATGTAAGGTTTATGAAATATTTACGTATACGTTCATTGTAAACAAACACTTAAAAAAATAAAAAATAATTGCAAATACACATGTTTTAGATACTTAGCTGAAAGATAGTTTTACAAGTTTTCTTCAAAAGTCCTTAAAATAAGGGAGTTATGACGATTTTTCGAAAATCAAAAGAACGCCAATAACTTCGTTATAGGTAACTTAGTATTAACACCCTGTGTAAGCATATAAAAGCTGCCTAGCGCATATTAAAAAGATGAATCAGGTCCTTGGCGATATTCTCCACAATATTCCATCTCCGCTACTGTCTAAGATCCTCGTTCTGTTATCTAAAGGTGGGAATAGACCAAGCAAACATTGTTGTGGAACAGTTGAACAACAGGTAGGCAACTGTTGGCTAACTTGTTTCCGTGGGGAGAAAACATTGTCGACAAACTGTTGGTCAACATCGACCAGCCTGCCTTCTCCGGTGTTTGTCCAGTGTTCGTTCAGTCAGGCACCATGCTGTTCAATAACTTCTCTCGAATGGAAAATGTAAAATTGACCCGTATACGCGTCTACACTGAAGACGCAGTGTGCACACTGTAGGGCAACATCTCCTTTGAAGTACCGCCTTGGGGCCAGCCATTGATGAGCATATTCATTAATGTTAATCAATGCCACAATGCTAAAAGATGATGTGATGAAGACCACAATCACAAACTCGGTATTTTTAGCGCAATATCCTGCTCATTACTGAATTAGTGTAGGTTTATCTTCGCCCACTGTCACCGCCTCCGTCATCATCACCGACTTTGTCTTTGGCCGTTTTCCCCCTAGTTATTCAAACCATGTACCCTTTAAATTTATTGTATCGTCTATTCTGTATTTTGCGAATGTTTGCAACCGTAGAAGAGTCTTGGAAGCGAAGCCAGGGGAAAATAAGACAGAATTCATTCGCCGGGATACGTAGCCATTATTGTTCTTCTTCCCTATCAATATTAAGAATTATACAGAGTTCAATGTCCCTCTATACCTACTTACGTAAGCATCTTACTTTCAAATTAATATTTACTTATAAAGTATCTTGGTACAAAACCATTTGATATTTCATTAAAAAAGGATTTTGAAAGCTTATTTTGGTACATCTATGTAATTCGAGAAGCATTAAATTGGAGCTATTGTGATTACGGAAAAGTTTCCATTCATTTCCTCCTTTTAAAAATTAATGTAACAAATTTGAGGGTGTCTTAAATTATTCGTGGCGACAACCGAAATACTCCAACAGAGAGCGATCGATTAAATAATTATATTCGCGTCCAGTCCGAATATATTATCTTGATTATTTACCATGTAGTCCGCTTCCAGCGCTACTCTGCGTGCACCATAATAAACTAAGAAAGCAAACTTACTCCCTTTTCCCCTTACCACGTCTAAGCGGCCACCGCCGGAAACCCGTTACTCATTCGTTTTTGGTGCACTCTGCTGTGCGGTCGTTTCTTCCGTGCCTACGT